TATATATATATATAGGAAGTTTTATTCTTTCTAATGGACAGATGTTCGATTAAAGCTGGATTTTGTGAAGCTTGAGTGCTAGTCGTGGATTTAGCGAAGGGTGAATCACCGCTATTGACGCAAGAGGCACTCACAGAAATGGCCTATTGAGGACATCATACATGCATAAAATTCATTGAAAGAGGCTCTTTGGCTGTTGAGGTACTACTTAATCCGCCCCAGTTACAACTAACTTATTTAGACACTTCCTTTTCATTCTTTTGGTCTTCTTTGGCCTTTTATTTGCCTCGATTTAAGTCACGCTTACTATACTTCACGTCCTACGATAATTAGATAATCATAATACTGTCGGCAAAGATTGCTATTGCATCGATGGTGTCAGTGTTGGTGGTATGGAAGTCCCCAGCACTGAAAGTAAATTTTTGTCTACAGCTATGGCCTTTGATTTTTTTTTAAATTTACATTTTATTCTTTTAGTATCATATGCACTATCCTGGTTCTAACCTACTGTTTCTCTAATTTAAAGCATAACTTTGATGCCTAAACAAAAAAAGGTTAATTGATCATGCTTGAATCACATTTTTAAATCAAAACATTTCACTAATGTATTTACCTCCATTAACCATTCTGTTTCGGGTGGAAATACATTTCTTTAGATATCGTGCAGATATTTGACACCAGGCCATTTTTGTCCAGATTCGAGTACATTTTTGTCGGCTCATACTGTTCTAGCTTTAGAGGCTTAGAATATGTTCCCTCTATACATGCTCTGGGCGTATTGGAGCAATGTTTTGTAGCTTCTTTATTGGTCACTGAGTGTCTCTAGTCCCGTCATTTGGGAAACTCAGGATACATATCACTTGCAGTAGAGTGTCCATGTGCCATGAGTTAAAAATCAGGTTTAAAATTCAAATATCTACCTTTTTTATTCTCTCTATGTCAGGAATTCAAACTGATATATGCCTTAAATACTGGATGTATTTTTATTTTTCCTAATTTCTATCGTAAATGAGTAGATTTTTGAGACTTCCAGTAAATCAAATATATAAGTTGTGTTCACCCTATTTCGTTTAAGGTGATTAAGGTCTGATAGTTGATTTTTCCCACAATGATATGAGTAGAGCTGACGTTTCCATTTAATTCTACATAGCCTTGCTTTCCCAAAAGATGTTTTCATCCAAAGTGGACTGCATAGGTCTTGTCAACGCCTCAAGTGGGAGTCGAACCATTGTAGTGCAGCATGTAAGCTCGACACGAAATAGGGTGAATACAACTCATATATCTGATTTAATGGTCGTCTCAAAAGCTTACTCATCTGTGAAAATTAACTGGAAAACATTAGATCTTCTCATATAATTGTGGGAAAATCAACTACCAGTCCTTCACCACCTTAAACGAAATAGGATGAACACAATTGATAATTTTTACCTGCATACATCGAACCTAAGGCTCAATCTGTCTCCTTATTCAGCCGTTAAACAGTTGAATATGTCTAAATCACAAACCCACCGATTTTGTTTTTTTTTGTCCAGCTTGCAGAACAGCTCGAGACTTTGCCACAGTACTCACGAGAGTTCGTGCACTTCTACCTCTACGAAGTTCTGCCCGAGTCATGGCTGTGCCTGCTTGAGACTAAGGCACTTTTTTATCACGCACAGGCCTACTACACGCTTGCAAAAGCTCTAATTGGCATTTCTCTTGAGGGCTTCATCTCCAACGATGACGGTGTCTATCGGCTTGATACAAGTCTGAACGACTCTCATGTCTGGAGGCCGGAGACTACTGCGGCTAAACTTAGTGAGTTTGGGGTCAATTTTCTCCTATACTACTGAATAAACGTACCAACAGATAAGGCGACGAAAAGTTCTAGTGTAGTGAATCCCAAACTGTACGCGACGACACCACGAGGAACCGCAGCTATTTTATATTGGT